CTAGTGTGATTCTGAAGCTAACAAGCAGATTCTCTAATTTTAGTGAAATGGTTTTCTTATCAACTACAAAGTAAATCCTTAGTGTAGTAAAACTATGGTTAGTGGACACGTGGACAGATGTTCCATAGCGAATACAGGGTTATAATATCGGTCTGTTCTGGAGAGACGAGGAGCACTCCGTAACTGTTTCATTCTTATCCCAAGAAATCCCAGGGAACATGCAACAGTTTTACATTAGTACTCAATATTTATTATTATTATTATTATCAATCATTCTGAGATCACTTTTGAGGGAAGAGTTTAATGCAGTTTCCATGTCCATAAAATTGTCCAATATGAGGGCTATATGCGTACGGCTTCGCAAGGCTCTCAAGGGGAATTTCCAGTGAACGATCTTTACAAGTTTTATTTAAAGCTACATGGTGGATATGGCTATCAAGGTTCTCATTCTCCATCTCAAAAAAGTTTTTTTCCAACGGGATGCTTGGCTATGTTAGGCTGTGTTGTAGCTTGTCAACTTTTGTCAGGTAAAATGTATTTCAAAACCGTTTAGTCAGCTATAATGGATTTGTCAACATTCGTTCATTTCGGTTAATCCAATGATCCAGTGATTTGTGCTAGCACGGCTGTATTCCAATTTAGCATGAGGGCACAAAAGAGAACTCAGAAAACCCAATGAAAATAACCAATTCGAGCTCTACAAAACTCTTTCTAAACTAAGCTCAAAATCTTCCTAAAACATCAGTTTGATTCTCGATCAGTTTTGTCCATTATATCGTTATTAGACAATGCAGAGTACGACAGCTAATATGTGACAGAAACGCTGCGTAAAACGTGTTTTACCTATTTTACATGCTCTTTTATCTCCCAAGGATTGCACGCGCTAGCCAGCTAACGTATCTATAGCTAAAAATGTGTCACGTCTATCTTCATGTGGAATTTTATCCAGTTTAATAATCTTTCGACTAATAAATAAACGAGAACAAATTTTTCCAGCTACCTGACCTGAAGTTCGTCGATTGTACATTTTTAACGCAAAGAAGGCAAAAAAATTCTGGTTTTGTCAGAGTTGTGTAACTGATATTGCATGTTAGTTATTGCTGACTGTATGCAAAACGATGTTTTCCAGTTGATATTGTTTAAGTGGACCAAACCACACTAAAAGCGGTAATAAGAATACTAGCGCCTGCTCTTGTTTGGGCTTGAAATTTTGTTTCCTGAAACTTTGACAACAGAATCTCAATGTTGCTAGCGGAGAATGGCATCTATACCGGTGTGAATTGTCTTCAAACTAATAAATTGCGAATACTCGTACCTCTTCCATGTCGGAAATTACTATGTGAGGATTACTTCATGTCGTAATATTTTGTCATTGACAAGTCGAAAAGTCGTTCCTGCTGTCTCAGCATAATTGAAACCGAAGCCGCTATAGTTAAAACGGAGTCAGTATTTTTGAAATCCCGGGACTCTTTTCTCCTTTTGCAGACCGCTGGAATAATCGTGATCATCTGCGAGCGCACGAACCTTACTTGCCGGTTGCCCACATTTTCTCTAACCACACTTAACTGATAAGTATGTTTGTGTGCGCAGTATGTAACTCATAACTGAAATAATATTCGCTTGTTCCGGCAATAAATTTGGTTGATATTAATTCTGCCTGAATATTCCAGCAATGATAATTCTCGGTTAATTTTTGCAGAACACTGCTTGGATGGGTATATTTGTATATTATGAAACCGCGCCTGTGTCGCATGAGAACTTTGCTTTCAGAAGCAGTTCTGATTTGGACATGCTGTGAAATATTTCTGTCGTGCGCGGCCGCAATAATGTGCACATCAGAAAGGGGAACGAATCATAACCTATTGAAAAAGATGTGAAACTCTCCTGAAAAATGGTACCATTTCCTGGCGCGTGCTCGAACTTGATTAAATGCCGTTGATACAAGTGCCCATTGAGTCAGTATCGCATCATAATCCAACTTGTTTTACGTCTTATGCTCAACAAAACTAGAATTTATGTGTCAGATAGTGTCAAATTTAATTTCTGAGAGTTCGTTTGTTTTATTACATCTGAGTCGGCTAAGTTTGGTGAAGTGGAACGATTTCTCAATCCAAAACGCAATCAAAAGAAAAGCACACCACTGAAACAAGTGGTCCAGCTACGGTGATTTCTGTGGAATTCCCTTTTTAAAAAGTTATGGTCAAGGCTATTTTAATTCCCATCCACACCCAGTGACCAGAGGCTTTACTCTATATGCTTGCATCTTTGCCTTCCTGGCTATTGGTGGTAGTAAATAGTTGTTGACCTTCTAAAAAGCTCGTTTGTGTCCAGTAATCGGTGAAGCTGAGTAATGTTTTCACTGCGGACGCATCTGTACAAAATACGTTTTGCTGCATTCTTGTGCCAATCTCAGTTTTTTACCATAGTGGCATTTGTATTTGTGACCGAAGAGCATTCTCAAAGAGGGAAAAACATAAGTAATCGACTGGGACTGGTCAATCCACACTCTGGCTAAGTAAACACCCGTGAAATCTCCCTCTTTGAGATTTTGGGCTTCACGAGCCCTTTTTCGGTAGAACTCTTTACCCTGTCAGATCCATCACTGGCGCCGAAGGCAAATACCTTTTTCTAGAACGTTCTATGGCTGATTTGTTATGGTACGATCAGTAATACAACTGCTTCAGTTCCCATCAGCACTCGTCAGATGTCTCAACACGTAGTCAAAGACCTCGGGTAATTATTTGATCCTCCAGGTATGAAGAGAGGTAAAACCAGTTGGTTGTTATGCCGAATATCTAACGAATTATACATTTTCCTCGGGAGCTCAGAGTTTGGCAGAGTTTGGCTGTTATGCTGCCACACCGTCTAGCTCAGACGCTGAAATGAATAAATTATACTATCTGGTGTCTGTTGGGTGACATCAACGCTGATCCACAGACAGCGGACGTTTTTCCTCCCCAGTGTTTGTGTGTCGAGTAAAAATGATCGCCCTGAAGTGTTGCACTTCACTGTATGTATCCCAAACCTAAAGCATCATAATCTGCCTAAACTATTTTAGAATTAATTTGAATTGATCTTTCTTGTTAATTTTTCGCGCGCACGCAACTTTACAGTTGCAGTGCTGTGGCTTCAGATGTGTCTTGGAAACCTAGTGGCTGTCCGGTTTACATTCTTTATGACGTGACAACACCTTGAATGAATACATGAAGGATAATCATGTTGTATTTGTGAGTTCAGGGGTTATTAGAAGCACGAACGCCGTTTTTCATCACGGGGGGCTATACTACTAATACCGCAGCCGGCCAGCATAAACAATTGAAAGTACAGAAATCTGAAAAAGCTATTGAGTGCATTTGCTAGTGGTGAACAGTACAAGAAGCATCGCAAGTTCAGTGCGGTTTTGTCTAAGGAGACACGGGAACCTCTCTGGGATACCCGCTATCATTATGTTAACCAAAACCATCACTTCTCCAAATTTTGTGCGATTAACTTTCAGTGAATCGATGGTCAACCGATAATGAGTTGAGCCCCTGTATTCGTATGAATCAGCTATGTTTGTTTGGCTCTCCGCTGCGGTCGACGTAGGTTATATTCAGCCATTTTATTGGGAGTCACGAGACCCAGGTACAATCAATTGTTTGGCTATATCGAAGGTGATGTATAGCCCAAAATAGCGTTTGAAGCGAAGTGTAACATGAATCGCATCACATGGTTGACATCAATGCGATGAAAATGGACCACTTATATCTACCTTTACTAAAAAATAACCGCTTTACGTTAGTCACAATTGTGCTTGATCAGACATATACAAAGGCGCAAGATTAAAGGGCGATGTCGGACACAAGATCGAATGCTAAAGCACGCTGTGTGAAAGATTGTGATTGTACGTGGACCACCGTTATCCGCGATAATTCTTTACCGATCGGACCTGAGGATCAAACGCACAATGCTTAAATACTCCGAGGAGGTACTGGAGGCATAATAATAGACCATTTTAGCCAATCGTTAAGAGACTTTGCCTTCAGCCATATTTTCCGATTCAGCGTGCAGCCAAGACTCGCTGTCTTTCTTACAAGCGCAGAGTTTTCAAGGGCAGTAGATCAGATTCAACATCAGATGAGAACAATATTGGCTGGTTTGTCTGTGGTCTACCGTTGCAGAGCGACATCCTCCAACCGCCAGGCACAATTTGAGCATTGAGAGACGTCAAGATGAACTTCAAAAATGCAACGGTGCATCCTCAGTGTATGGTGAAACATGGTGTATAGACTATGTACAAGTGCTTTCAAGTAGACCCTTATCAGAGCTCAAGGACGTATCCAGTAACGCTGGTTCATTTCTAACATTTTACGGTAAAATATTTCCAAGTAGCACTATGAACCCCAAAGTACTTGATGTAAAATTGACAATTTTTGCTGTAAAATGAACTAATCCAATCGTTCTGACCGGCCCATCAGATACTTGCGAACTTTATTAGAGTGGGCGATTAGACCAACAGCAGTCCTTCTAAGAAAACGGTGTTATCCAGTAAAAAAACAACATACAATGGGATGATAGCCCGAGTACCTCTACGCGTAATCACCCCGAAGAGTTCGAAAGCTGGATCGGATCTAAACTATATTGTGTGCTGAATTAGCCATATTCAAACTTGATTTAAATGACAGATTTACTTTTAATTGGCGAGAATAATCTTAATATATTTAATAGGCTTTGAAGATGGTTTCTTAATTCAGAGGGCTCAACAATTTCGGGTTTTGGCCCAGTTCAAATAAAATATGTACGTAATGTTTCTCAAATGGCCAAAATATAACACTTCAACGAGAAGGTTTTATTCTGAAGGGGATTGCGGAGAATAGTGTCGTCGATGATCAGTTTCAATGCATAACTAGGCTTCGTGACGGCCGCATTTGCACACTCTTAAATAAAAGTCTCAGTTACCTGAACGAGGGCAGTCAATAAGTTTGCACAATTTCAAATGCTCCAAAGTTACAGTGGCTTACATCGGCGTTGTCAATCTGATTATTATGGCGCCCACAGTGACCGTCGTTTTCATTTTAGATGTCGAGTCGTTTCAATACCAGTCCGCGGTAATGTCTGTCTTCGCCGGCTTGGGAAGGACAATCGCGTTACTAGCTTTGACAGCCTTACCGTCCGTAATGGAATGCAAATATTTATTTGCCGAGATATGTGGTCCACCAAAACAATACCTTGGAATACGCTAAGGTCCAAATAACTTCCCTGGGGCCCTGAATTGTTTTCTGTTAACTTCCATTTCTTTCTTTTAAAGCACGTATTACGGTACATCAAAAGCAGTCCAGTTGACCGTCCGTCGTATACATCACCAATAATTTGTGTTCGATAGAAAGAGAGAGCGGAGCTACGGTCAACAGAAGC